TTTCCTTAGCTAATGCTAACTGTATATAGAAAAGCTTATTGTAATGCAAATTATTATTCTGTATCCCATAGCTTATCAACTTTTCGTATGCCTGGAGGGTCTTTTGAGGCCCGATTCCAGTGGCACAGTATAAAGAAAGCATAAAGAGCAAGGAACATGCTTTTTTTTTTTTTTTCAATGGTGCGAGTTCATATTGCTATCTAATGTGTGTTTTTAAAATAAATAAAAATATTTTAGCATGTTCTCAAAGCTAGCATTTTCAGGCTGACCAGAATAAATGCTTATTCACACAATTTCTTTTTTCATCCCATGCAAATAATAGAAATGTAAGCTTTTTTTTCCCCTCTATTTGGGCACTGATGCATTTTCTTTTTAGCAAAATATGTAAAAATGAATGAACTTGTAGAGCCCATACATTTTTTTTTTATAGTACATCAAAAAAATTCAAGCAACATTATTTTGTGTATAGTAGGGATTTGGCAAGCCCATTAAAATGAATGCACATAGTAAACTGTTCTGTGCATATATTTACAAAAAAAAAATGTGTGTGTGTGTGTGTGTGTGTATGTATGTATATGTATATATATATATATATTACACACAGTGGGGCAAAAAAGTATTTAGTCAGCCACCAATTGTGCAAGTTCTCCCACTTAAAAAGATGAGAGAGGCCTGTAATTGGCATCATAGGTAGACCTCAACTATGAGAGACAAATTGAGAAAAAAAATCCAGACAATCACATTGGCTGATTTGGAAAGAATTTATTTGCAAATTATGGTGGAAAATAGGTATTTGGTCAATATGAAAAGTTCATCTCAATACTTTGTTATATATCCTTTGTTGGCAATGACAGAGGTCAAACGTTTCCTGTAAGTCTTCACAAGGTTGGCACACACTGTTGCTGGTATGTTGACCCATTCCTCCATGCAGATCTCCTCTAGAGCAGTGATGTTATGGGGCTGTCGCTGGGCAACACGGACTTTCAACTCCCTCCAAAGGTTTTCTGTGGGGTAGAGATCTGGAGACTGGCTAGGCCACTCCAGGACCTTGAAATGCTTCTTACGAAGCCACTCCTTCGTTGGCCGGGCGGTATGTTTGGGATCATTGTCATGTTGGAAGACCCAGCCACGTTTCATCCTTGCTGATGGAAGGAGGTTTGCACTCACAATCTCACGATACATGGCCTCATTCATTCTGTCCTGTACATGGATCAGTCGTCCCGGTCCTTTTGCGGAGAAACAGCCCCAAAGCATGATGTTGCCACCCCCATGCTTTACAGTAGGTATGGTGTTCTTTGGATGCAACTCAGCATTCTCTCTCCTCCAAACGCGACGAGTTGTGTTTCTACCAAACAGTTCTATTTTGGTTTCATCTGACCATATGACATTCTCCCAATCCTCTTCTGGATCATCCAAACGCTCTCTAGCGAACTTCAGACGGGCCCGGACATGTACTGGCTTAAGCAAGGGGACACGTCTGGCACTGTGGGATCTGAGTCCCTGGCGGCGTCGTGTGTTACTGATGGTAGCCTTTGTTACGTTGGTCCCAGCGCCCTGCAGGTCATTCACTAGGTCCCCCCGTGTGGTCCTGGGATTTTTGCTCACCGTTCTTGTGATCATTTTGACCCCATGGGTTGAGATCTTGCGTGGAGCCCCAGATCGAGGGAGATTATCAGTGGTCTTGTATGTCTTCCATTTTCTAATTATTTCTCCCACAGTTGATTTGTTCACACCAAGCTGCTTGCCTATTGCAGATTCAGTCTTCCCAGCCTGGTGCAGGTCTACAATTTTGTTTCTGGTGTCCTTCGACAGCTCTTTGGTCTTCACCATAGTGGAGTTTGGAGTGTGACTGTTTGAGGTTGTGGACAGGTGTCTTTTATACTGATAACAAGTTCAAACAGGTGCCATTGATACAGGTAATGAGTGCAGAACAGAGGAGCCTCTTAAAGAAGAAGGTACAGGTCTTTGAGAGCCAGAAATCTTGCTTGTTTGTAGGTGACCAAATACTTATTTTCCACCATAATTTGCAAATAAATTCTTTCCAAATCAGCCAATGTGATTGTCTGGATTTTTTTTCTCATCTTGTCTCTCATAGTTGATGTCTACCTATGATGCCAATTACAAACCTCTCATCTTTTTAAGTGGGAGAACTTGCACAATTGGTGGCTGACTAAATACTTTTGGTGCCCCACTGTGTATATGTGTGTGTATATATATGTGTGTGTATGTGTGTGTGTATATGTGTGTGTGTGTGTGTATATATATAATACGTGTGTGTGTGTATGTATATATATATATATATATATATATTTATTCTATCCCACAGTAAGGGGTACTCTGCACTGCAAGTGCGGTTGCTCTCAAACTGAGGGGAAGCTCTGCTAATTTGTATCATCCAATCATGTGCAAGCAAAATAGTTTTTTTTTTTTTTTTTTTTTTCTTGCATGTGATTGGGTATTCTTTGTAAAGCAAAGCTTTCTCATTTACTAAGCTTTGGAGCAACTGCAGTAGATTTGGCTTTAGTAAATCAACCCCTAAGTGTATGACTTTCATGCACACTGGACATTTTTACAGCTGCTGTTTTTGGTTTCTGGCGTTTCTTCCTACAGCCAGTAAACTCCCTAGCATGTTATCCTAGGTATTCATGACACACACAGGCTTTAATCAGCATTTTCTGGCTGGGAAAAAAACCCCCAGAACTTGTGGGTTTTTAGAGGAGTGTTTTAGCTATAAAAATGTTCTAACTCTGATAACAGCTAAATAAAACTCGGATATTCGGCATTTATGAGCATTTTTGAGCCTGAAGATTTTGTGGGAGTATAATTTTGCTAAAAACCGCAAACGCTGAAAAGCACTAATGCAAAAACGAAACAAAACTCACGTTTTTAATGCAGCCTTCTACTTCTAACGCTACTGCCGTTTTTATAACGTCCAGTGTGCATGAGGCCTTAGTGCAGGCCTTGAAATTTCCACTCGCCTGCTCACCAATGGCGAGTGGTAATTATGGTGGGGGCGAGTGTGTCTCCCAGGGCCGTCTTGCTCGGATCTCAGGCCGGATCTGTCTATGGCACTGAGAGTCGGCAGACTGCTCAATAGCTGAGCAGGAAGGAAGGAGTGAGGAAGGAGTGTGTGCTGTGCTCTCTGCCTCCCCCTAGAGTGCAGTACCCCGCTCTGTGAGTCAACAACAAAGTACTGCAACTTTTTATAGTGGTGTGTGCGTGTGTGCATGCATGCATGTACATGTGTCTGTGTGTATGTATGTACGTGTGTTTGTGTGTACGTACGTACATGTGTCTGTGGATGTATGTACATGTGTCTGTGTGTATGTATTTCTGTGTATGTACATGTATCTGTGTGTGTGTCTGTACGTGCTTGTGTGTGTGGGTGTGTGTACATGTTTCTGTGTGTGTGTATGTACATGTCTGTGTGGGTGTGTGTATACAGGTGTCTCTGTGTGTGTTTGTTGGTGGCAAGTAACTCTTAAGGCCTGGCTAGTAGCTCAGGACTTGAAATTTTAAGCCCGGCCTTAGTGTATATACAGCCACAGTAATATCTGTATATTCCCACAAGTGAACCACATAACATCAGTTAGTGAAAAATATCCATCTGCAATGCTCCAGTTGCAATTCTTCCAATACATGCAAGGAAAAGTCTTTTCTCCAATAGAAAAGAACCTCCACCGAACCCCAAAAAGGTGGCCACTTATCTTAATAGTTGACCCTCAAAGATCAAAAGGTCAACTGCGTATAATAACACTTTTAAGACCCTGAGGGCAACAAGATTTCTAAGCAGCAAAAGTATTCAGCCCAATTAAACTACCATCCACTGCTGAGGCTCCAAGAATGCTCAGTGGCACAAGCATGATTATTGGATCCCACAATTATGCTCTCAAATGAAATAAAAACAAGCCACAGTGTTCTCCGTTTGTTATTCATTAAACAAAAATTCACTCACACAAGCAATGTTTACTGATTGCAACTAACGCCTGTCTCCCTATATATGCTTCCCCCTTGACTGCCTCTAACCATGTCCCTGAAGATGTCATGATTGAGTAAACATTTTGGGCGGAGCCTGGAGGTCTGAGGGAGAGCTGGCTGTTTTCTGAATGGAGTGATCTTTACACTTGGCTGTAAGCAGCTTATCTTAATTGCAATGCTGCTGACGTTCTGTACAAAGTGATTTTATCTGCAACAATATGCAAGTGCATTTTTAATTTTTATTTAATAAATAGCAAACAAAGAACATTATGGTTTGTTTTATTTTTTATTGAGAGCATAATTGTGGAATTCAAAAATTATTTTTGTGCCAGAGAGCATTCTTGGAGACTCCACAGTGGATGGTAATTTAATTGGGCTGAAGACACTTGCTGCCTTGAGAAATCTTGTTGCCATCTGAGTCCTAAAAGTGCTATTATGCGCAGTTGACCTTTGTTTTGAGGAACAACTATTAAGGTAAGCGGATACCTTTTGAGGCTTTGATGGAGGTCCTTTTCTTTGGAAAAATACACTTTTCCCCTGCATGAATTGGATGGACGGATTATCATAGATGGACATTTTTCACTAATTGATGTTTTTTTATGTCATTTGTTTACATGTTACTTAAAGTCATACACTTATTGTGGGTAATATAGACACAGTTGTTTATACACACATTTTATATATATTGCCATATAACCGCAGCACAATTTATTTATTGTTTCTTTGTTGTGTTTACCTCTTTGGTGCTTGCAGCTGCAGTGTAAAATTGAGTGTAAAATTTATTGAATACCGAAAATGAGTGTACATATGCTTAACACCGCTATAACATGGAAAGATGAGTGAAAGGAGGCCCTGAAGGTAGTATTCTAGCTTAGCAAAATGTTTAGATGTTTATGCAAGGTTTTTCCTGATTACATGGAAGATCACCAGGTTTTCAACAAGTATTTCTTGAACTGTAGGTTTCTTTAAAATAGCTGAATGATTCTAAGTATGTTTTATCTTTTTTCTTTTTGTCTCTTCAGCAGCTCCAGGTATCATTTCCTCTCCATATGCAGGAGCAGCAGGATTTGCCCCAACTATTGGCTTCCCTCAAGCAGGTTAGTGAGGCACAGTAAATGTAGAATAAGGTGTTTTTTTGTTTTGTTTAAGTACTGCCACTTCTGTGTTTCTTCCTTCATCACTTCTGTATAGTTGCTAAGAGATTTATTTTACATATTAAAATACTAAACTATAGGACCGTTTACCTGGTCTTTGCTTAGGTCACTAAGGCCCCCAAACCAGAATTTTGAGAGATGTTCGAAGGAATCAATTTGGCACAAAGGTCCCATTTACATTATTGCATGGTGATATCATGCCTTTTAATGCAACATGTGACAATGCACATTACATCTGTTAGTCCAGTGACTTGCCATTCATTCTGGTAGTCCCCTTAACACACACCTTGCTGACGGATGTGCGTTACAGAGCACTTGATATGCTTTGCCATATAGTCCCAAAAATGAGTGGGTACTCCGTCAAAGGAATGAATATGAACAAAAGAAACAATGATAAGTCCATATAACCTTTATTCTTGACAATGAAGTCGCAACTGTAATGGTCGCGGCATCAGACCACCAGCCCTTCTCACCAACTTGTGACCGAAGGACTAGCCAATCTAAAACCGCGCTGTCACGTGCGTAACAATGCCACACTTAGCTACACCCTGCACAGCTAATGGACCACAACCTATGTGCCGCAGCCTGAGAATGTTTGTTACTGGGTCAGGTTAATTACGCAATTAACCCCTCACACTGCCACCACCACCTTTTTGTACAGAGTAGGAGGAAACTTGCCAATATTAGCAATAACACTATGATGTTTGAATAATGGTCTGTATACCACTGTCACCGCAGGCAGAGATATATAGAGGTTTAAAAACACCCAGTAGCGCTCTTCAGAGACAGGGATTCTTAGTTTGCATTAAAGAGCTTTAGAAACCGTTCAACACTTTTCAGATAATAGGTTTTATTACAAAAAAAGGTCAAAAGGGTGCAATAAAAATATTTACAGAAAAAGATGTAGCACACACACACACACACCTCTCTGCTCCAAGCATAACAGCATTTTTCTAGGAACTCAGCAGGGTGTCTCCTTGAAGCAAAGAACCAATCGCCTCATTTGGGGAGGGTTTTGTAGGCGGGGGACTCAGGCTAGAACCAAAATCCCTCACAAATTATACCAGGGTAATAACCTTCCCTAGGTACATGTAACATTCTATCCATCGGTAGATTAATATGCAGAATCATCTGCTGAATGTCTAGATATCAAACATGGCATAGTTCACTATTTCAGCTAGAACTATATGCTTTCTGCTCTCCTGTAGACTTGAACTAGGGGGTGTAAGATATCATGCGACTTGTATTAAACTGAGCTATCCGAATATATGCTTTATGTTTATGTAATTATTTCCTACCTTAAGATATAAAATTATATGGAAAAGTGGGTTTTTTAATGTCAGTCTGTTTCACGGCTAGCTGGAATGTCTTTGAAGCCCTGTGAAGGACTGGTTTATGGCTTTACGATCCTTTCCAAGCAAGAGTCTCAGACATACTGGGGCCAGGCTAATTGGGGTTTATAACCATGAAGCTCTCCAGCTGGGCCTGTTGCCTGTGATCTCTCGGCATCATACAGACCACATGTCACTCAACAGAGAGGGAGGGGGGATTGGAGGAGGGAGAGAGAGATACAAGATGGAGGGTCTTAAGCAAAATGGATAACCGCGTCTATCTCTGTGTGCACAATTGCTACAGCAACCAGTAGAAAAACTGTACCCAGCGCATTTTAGGGACATGAAACCTCTTTCATCAGGGCAGCAGCATCAGTAGAGCTCATGTGATGGATCCATGGTCTGCTCTCTAAACATCATTTAATCATCGGAGGAAAATCCATGGTGTGGGGCTATAGCAAGTGGATATACTGTGCCAAGGCAATAACTCAGTAGAGAATAGCATGAGGGTTGGCGTGTGTGATTCCAAGGCAGTGTCTCAATTGTTGCTGTCGCAAGTGCAGTAATACGGCTACAATCACCTCAAGCAAGATAGTGTCTGGAAGTGATCAGTTTTCTCAGTGTTCCTTATGCGTATAAAAAGCTTGGAGAAGGACTACAACAACATGGGTAAAAAGCTCTTGGATTACTAATAATCTGCTGTGCTATTGTTAATCCACGGGACAGATTTTTAATCTCTTTTACTGTTCAGTTGGTATTTCACACTGTAGCACAGTGAAGAAGAGTGCGGTCTATGGTGCAACCCTATAAATCTACAAGAAACTATACAGGCAAACTGGACTGTTTAGGTCTCCTAAATAAGAACAGTCTCTGTTGTGTCTTATTTTCCAGATTGAAGGTGTTGAAGGACACTGGCAATCCCTCTGTTATATAAGCTTCCAGGAATTTGTTTAGTCTCCTCTGCATTTATATGCAGAAGAAAAAGGTTCATCTTACTTGATTTCCTTTAGTCAACTATTATCTTTTTAGTTTTTTGTAATATTCAGTATCAGGTTATTGTCTGTCACCACTCAACCAGATGTTGAACTTGCTCTCTAAAGGTTTTCTCATCTCATCGTCATGTACAGTATAAGTCTTACTATAGTAATATTATATGTGAACTTCAGTATAGTATTAAAGACATGAATGAAGTTCTAGGTGTCACTCTAGACTCCAACCTATCCTTCCAGCCCCATGTCCAATCACTGGCAAATTCATGCAGGCTCCACCTCCGCAACATCTCAAAAATATGTTCGTTCCTAACCCCAGACACTACTAAACAACTTGTTCACTCCCTTATTATCTCACGACTCGACTACTGCAACTCTCTCCTCACCGGCTTACCTCATCACAGACTATCCCCTCTTCAGTCTATCCTGAACTCAGCGGCCAGACTCATCCACCTTACCAACCGCTCCGTATCCGCCACCCCCCTCTGTCATTCCCTCCATTGGCTTCCGATTGCCCAACGCATACAATTCAAACTACTAACATTGACGTACAAAGCTATTCATAATACTGCCCCAAACTACCTCACCGACCTGATATCCAAATACCACCCAACACGTACTCTTTGCTCCTCACAAGACCTCTTACTCTCCAGTTCCCTGGTCTCCTCCTCCCATGCCCGACTCCAGGACTTCTCTAGGTCTTCTCCCATCCTCTGGAACTCACTACCCCAATCCATCAGACTGTCATCTACCATCCTCACCTTTAGGCGCACCATCTCTTCAGGGAAGCCTACCCCACCCTCACCTAACAGCCAATCTCCTCCACTCCTCCTACTACTCCATCCCCCACAGTCATTTCCTCCTGTACCACTATCCCCTCCCTCCTAGATTGTAAGCTCCAAGGAGCAGGGCCCTCGAACCCCTCGTGTATTGTATTGTTACTGTATTGTCTCATGTACTGTCCCCCACTATAATGTACAGCGCTGAGCAAACTTTTTGGCGCCATATAAATACTGTATAATAATAATGAATGCGGATAGAATCATGTGTAAACAGGGAAAACTGAGCTGGACTTAGAAGATGGACCTTCAGTATCCCTGTGTTCATAATGAGATTGGAGGAGAGTCGATTCTCAGTCTAAGCCCAGGTTGTTAAGCTTGTACACCAGTTTGAGGGATATGAATGTATTGAAGGCAGAAAAAAATCAATAAAAAGCATTCAAACATAGGTGTTCGGTAGCTCAAGACGGGTCAGGGCTGCTTCCAATGCAATAGTAGTAGCATCATCAGTCAATCTGTCCACTCAGATGTTTATCAAACTGATGTTTATCCAGATCACTGTGATTGCTGTTTTTTTTGTGTCTATAGCACAAGCCTCTTGAAGCACTTCATGGTCACTGGAGTTAACACAACTGGGTGATACTCATTCTGACATCTCACTGCTGAATTTTTTGGGTCAGGAACAATAATAGTGGATTTAAAACGGTAGGGACAGCAATGGTCACAATGACAGCTTAAAAATGTTAGTAAAAACCTCTAACAGGTCAACATATATCCTCAGTGTATGGCCTGGCACTCCAACTGGCCCTGCTGTCATGTTGCTGCTGCTCTTCCTCAAGATCTATTTCACCTCATATTGCTCTAATATGTCTGTTGCTCTGCAGGTTTTTAAATGAGGGTTTCATATTTGACATCTTGATCATCAAAACAGGCAAAAAATTGTTTTAGGGTATTGGGGAATATACAGTGTCACTAATCTTTGGAGCACTAGTTTTTAAATTATTTTTTTTAATTTAATTCTTTCCACGTGTTATGGGGATTATTGTTCTTAGGATGGCTATAAATGGACTGTTTTGTGTTTTACACTCAGCCTCTCTAATACCCTTTTTTAGTTGTCTCTGCCAACAAAGCCACCTAATTTAAATACAGAATTTTGTTCTTTGGGCAGAGCTTTTACTTTTGCTTCCTACCAAGACTTTGATTTGGAAATACTTTGATATTTTTAGTGTTTAGTGCAGTCTCAGTACAGAAATGTATATACGCAAAACAGATTAGGTATTTTCCTCTAAATCTGCACCTTTTGCAGACACTAGGTGGTTTCCTAACTTCACACTATGACAGTTTTATTGACTAGTCTTGTTCATGACTCATTTCTATAGTCATCACTTCACCATTTCCCGCCCATAGGATGTAATATGATGTCCTGGGGACACTGGGATGATGCCTGCAGATACTGTCCATCCATTGATGGATTGAAATTTTCCCGGTTCAGCAGTGACCAGGCTTGTTTTGATCCAAATATGGGCACTGTGGTTGTACAGTAGTCAATTTACTGATCAGCCTCTGCACAACCACCCTGCTGAAACATTTCCTCTTGTAGCATTGCAAGCTATTGAATTTACTGATCAGCCTCTCGAATGTGTGGATAGGGACAAAAATGGCTGTGTGCTGAGTTATTTTGAGGGGGCAGCAAATTTATTCAAGCTGTACACTCACTACTTTACATTGTAGTCATTTCTTCAGTGTTGTCACATGAAAAGATATAATAAAATATTTACAAAAATGTGAGGGGTGTACTCACTTCTGTGAGATACTGTATATACATACATATACAGGTGTACCTC